TTTTTTTTTTGAGTTGGAGTCTCACTCTGTCGCCCAAACTAAAGTGCAGTGGCTGCTCCTGGCCACCACAGCCTCGATCTGCTGGGCTCCGGCAATCCTTCTGCCTCAGCCTTCTAAGTAGCCGGAATTACAGACATGCACTACCATGCCTGGCTGATTTTTTTTGATTTATTGTAGAGATGAGGTCTTGCTGCCCAGGCGGGTCACAAACCCGCGGGCTCAGGCAATCCACTCATCTCAGCCTCCCAAAGGCACGGAATTACAGTCTGAACCACTGAGCCCAGCTTCCTTAAGGTTTTCAAGTATGTTTCCATACAAGTGTACATAGTAGTCTCTAATGATCTTTTGTATTTGTTCAGGATCAGATGTGACTTCATCTTTTGTGTTTCTGATTGTGTTAATTTAGGCTTTTCTCTCTTTTTCTTGGTCAGTCTAGCTACGGGACCATCAATCTTGTTTATCCTTTCGGAAAACCAGCTTTTTGTTTCATTGATTTTTTTGTATTATCTTTTTGTCTTCTATGTCCTGGATTTGGTCTTGTATTTTGGTGATCTGGAGTCTTCTGCTGAAATTAGAGTTTTTATGGTCTTGCTTTTCGAGCTTCCTTAGGTGGCTTTTTAGGCTATTAATTTGTGATCCTTCCATTTTCTTCATGTGCATTTGTAGGGATATAAATTCCCCTCTTACTACAGCTTTCATGGCATCCCAGAGATTTTGGTAAGATGTTTCTTCATTTTCATTTGTTTCCAGGTATCTTTTAATCTCTGTTTTGATTTCATCATTGATCCAGGAGTTGTTTAGCATCATGCTGTTTAGTGTCCATGTCTTTGTGGGTTTTGGGGGGACTTTGTTGGTGTTAATGTTTAATTTTAATCCACTGTGGTCCGAGAAGGTGCATAGTAAAATTTCATTCCTTTTAAATTTGCTTATGCTTGATTTATGGTCAAGTATGTGGTTGATCTTAGAGTACGTTCCATGCGGTGATGAGTAGAATGTGTATTCTGTGGTCTTTGGATGGAGGGTTCTGTTGCTATCAGTTAAGTCCTTTTGATCAAGAGTCACATTGAGGTTTCAGATCTCGTTACTGACTTTTTGTCCTGCTGATCTGTCTAAGGTTGTGAGTGGGATATTTAAGTCCCCAGCTATGATGGTATTGGAGTCGATATCTTTTTTTAGTTTACCTAGGAACTTCTTTATGAAAGTTGGTGCTCCTATGCATATATGTTTAGGATGGATATTTCTTGTTGATGGATTGAACCTTTTATCATTATGTAGTGGCCTTCTGTATCTTTTTTATTTTTGATAGCATAAAAGGTATTTTGTCTGAGATTAAGATCGCGACTCCTCCTTTCTTTTGTGTTCCATTCGCCTGAAAATTTGTTTCCCATCCTCTTACTTTGAGTCTGTGAGTGTCCTTTCTAGTGAGGTGAGTCTCTTGAAGGCAATAGATTGTTGCCTGATGATATTTTATCCATTTTGCCATTCTGTGTCCTTTCAGTGGTGCATTTAGTCCATTCACATTCAAACTAATTATTGAAATGTGAGAGTTGATCCCTATCATAATGTTCTTACAGAGTTGTTATTCTTCCTCTTTGTGTGTCTTTCTTTTGGTTTTAGAGTTGGATCATGTATGTTTTTAATCTTTTGCCTGTACTCTTGAGAAGAACGTTGTTGTTCTTTTTTCCTTTTCTTCTGTGTTCAATACTTTCTTAAATGATTCTTGTATAGGTGGTCTGGTTACAGCGTAGGTTCTTAGGGATTGGATATCTGGGAAAGATTTCAATTCTCCCTCACTGATGAAGCTTAACTTGGCTGGGTAGGTTATTCTTAGTCCAAATTGTTTATCTTTTAGAACTTTGAAGATAGGGCTCCAAGCTCTCCTAGCCTGGAGGGTTTCTGTAGATAAATCAGCAGCTATTCTAATTGGTATTCCCTGGTAGGTAGTCTGAACTTTTTCTCTTGCAACCTTTAGGATTTTTTCTTTTATACCTACTTTGTTTAGGCGAATTATTATGTGTGTGGGAGTTGGTCTTCTCATTTGTTGTCTTGAAGGGTTTCTCTGAATCTCTTGTGTTTGAATTTTTTCACCCTTGATGAGATGAGGGAAGTTTTCTTGAATGATTTCATGAAATGTTTGTTCCTGTGCAGCCTCCCTTTTCTCTCTGCCTTAGGAAGGCCAATTACTCTTAGGTTCGGTCTCTTGAAGTGATCATTCATCTCTTGAAGGTTTTGTTCTGTCTTTTTGAGCTTCTTTTCTATGCTTTTGACAGTTTGGGTTAGTTCTGTGTTTGGTCTTCTAGCTCTGAGATTCTTTCTTCTGCTTGGTTAATTCTGTTTTCCATGTTTATTAGTTTGCTATTTATTTCTATCACAATATTCCTTACTGCTGTTATTTCTGACATCAGCTCCTTCCTATTTTCCTCTTGTCTCTTCTCAATTTTTAAAATTCTCTCTATTAATGTCTTGATGTCTGGGTTTGTTGCATGTGACCAGTCATTCTTGGGTCCCTTCATTGTTTGTGTTCCAGAGTCTGTTTTCTCAGTGTCTGATCTCCCAGGGGTCTGTGTGAGACCTATATTCTTCTTTTGGTTTTTCTTCATTTGTGCAATTTTTTCCATCCTTACTTTTTCCTTCCCTCCACATCACCATCTTCTTTAATTCTGTTATTCAGGAGTAGAGGGATTGCTTTTACTTCTGTTTGTTCAATCTCCTATTCTTCTTTATGTATGTCCTCTTACTTTGTTCAATTCTGGAATTGCACTGTAGGTTGGGGATGGTCCTTTTTGTAGTTTTGAGATTTACTTAAGGGAGGAGCTGTGATTCAAAATCTATCTGCAGGTCCTGGTATCCGCTGACAGGTGTATGGATAATCTAAAACCCACATTCCACTGCCTTGGAATCTGTCCGTGCAGTGGGGCTGTAGGTTTACTCCCTGAAATAAAATGAGGTTAGCAGAGGGAAGAGAATGGAGCAGACAGTGTGGGGAAGAGGGGATGAAGAGAGAGAGGAGTAAGGGGGGAAACAGACGAGTGTACCAACTAATGGAGAGAGAGACCGAAACTGAAACAGATAAAAACAATAGACCATGGCTACAGACTAACCAACTCCCATACAAAAAAAATTAAAACATACAATGATGCTAACACATAAGCTAACCAACCACCTTATTGGTATGCTGTTCCTCTATACAAAAATATGGTTTACAGAGATGAGAAAAGAGAATAAAAGGAAGAGGAAAAAAGAAGAAACAAAGCAGTAGAAATAGAATCAAGTCATTAAACTAACAGAACCAATTGAGCACACTCTGAGACTTTTCATTTAAGTCCAATGTCCTTTCAGCTCTGATTTCTAACTGTCTTCTCAAACTGGTAAATTAGTTCACAGTTAGGGTCAGTTGCTCCTGGCCTGCTGTGAAGGACAGTTCAGATCACCCTCAGTTCACCACTCAAATCTGGCCTGTGTCTGTTTTTCAAGCTTGTTTCTCGCGTTTCGGTGTTGTTACCTTGAATTGCCAGCAGCTGGTGCTATCTCAGCTGCTCGCCCCAGAGGGGGTGGAGTCGGACAGGGGTTAGGCAGAAGTGGAGATGGGAGCTTGCCTCTGGGCACACGGGAGGAGACCCACGGCCAGCAGGACATCAAGGTGGCAGCAGAGGTGGTAGCCGCAGATCTTGCCTGCAGGGGCTTCAAGGACTGAAGTCGTGGATCGCCTCAGGCACAGGTGGCGCGATGCGCTATGGCTGCCATGGAGGTCACGGCGGTGCGGTGGCTGCTGTGTCTGCAGCTGCAGTGGCTGTCCAGACCGCTGCGATGCCCCAGCGGTGGCGATGGCCGAGCTCCGTGTAAAGAGCAGGCTACCGATGTTGGGATACGTAGCCCCGGGTGAGAGAGCCAGAGATCCTCTGCGTTCTCCTTTGCAGAGGGTCTCATAAACCAGGCTGCCCCTTTGCCATCTTGCTGGAAGTCCAAAAAGCCATTTTTTATAAACCATTATCCATTCTTCCATATAACAACCATTAACAAATACCTTCTGATTTCCATTTTTTAAAAAAAGTTCTCCATTTTTTTAGTATATTGATGTGTAGACATCTTATTCATTTCTAAATAAACATTTATTAATCAACTTCTAGGTTCTAGATACTGGGTTTATAAAAATGAATTATACGCCACTTCTGTCATCAACAAGTGCATAATCCAGTTAAATGTAGAGATAGAATGGATTTATCAAATACTTTTCTTGCCGTAGGGGATTTTGTGTGTTGTCTTTTTCTTTTTTTGATTTAGTAGAAAAATAAGATTGACAAAATCAATAAAAATGTTTGCTAAGGTAGTAGGTGACTACGTTCTGTAGAAGGTGAGGCATGTACTCCAAAGCTTCATGGAAAAAGAAAGGTATATGATGTTTTAAAATGTTTTGTTGCTAAAATGTTGGCATTTTTACTCCAGTGTTGGTCAGGAAGTAATACATCCTCTGCTTTCCTTGTATTTATTAAGCCAAGTAACTCTGTGGCATCAGTAGAGGGAAACCTTGGCAGTCATATTGGATTAAAAGTTCATTCCCTGCAGATTGCTTTGCGCATAATAAGCACTATAAAAAATTGTTGATTCAACAGCTTTAGGATTGAACAGATTCAAAAAGAGAGTTGATATATTTTTGCAGGGCCTCAAGACCTATTACCATATACGTTTAATTCTTGATTATTGGGGCATATTAACATATTTGATTTATGTTTGTAATATTCCTTTTCTTGGCCATATTTGTAAAAGCATCTTCTCCTTTAAAACCTACTAATAAATTGTACCTTTGGGGAAAAACCCCAGTTAGTACCCTAACAGTGTTCAGTTTGAAGTGGTAAACCAGGCTCAGTGGTGTGCACCTGTAGTTCCAGCTACTCAGGAGCCCAAGGCAGGAGGATCTCTTAGCCCAGGAGTTTGAGCCAAGCCTGACCACATAACAAGACCTTTTCTCTTAAAAGGAAGAAAATTGAAGTGATAGATAATACAGTATTTGGTATTTTTTCATGTGCGAATAAGCTAAAATCAATTTTAAGTTCACTTTTGGAATTTTACTTAAAATTTTAATGAAGCAGACATTTATATTACATTAATAACAAACAGTACTTTATAGTACTTTTGGCTCAATAAGGAAGAAACAAAAGCTCAAAAGTGCAAATCCTATCTCATCTCACTAATGACTTATAACATTTGTGTTGTTTGATTTAGGTGCTGTAATTAAAGTCATGCAAGCTGTACAGTATTCCTAGATTTACTACCAACTTATGAATCAAGTTTTGAGAATACTACAGTTATCTAATAAACTTTCTAATACCTTGATATGTAGTTAAAAATTGATGTTCTGGATATATGCATCTAATGAAAGCATGCGCTTCAGCTGGGTATGGTAGCTCACGTCTGTAATCCTAGCACTTTGGCAGGCCAAGGCGGGAGGACTGCCTGAATCCAGGGGCTCAAGATCAGCCTGGGCAACTTGATGAGACCTCATCTCTATGGTCAATCAGTAAATAAACAGCCAGGTGTGATGATGCACACCTGAAGCCCCAGCAACTCAGGAGACTGAGGCAGAAGGATTGCCTGACCCCAGCAGGTGTGGTGTCCATGAGCATGACACTATACTCCAGCCTAGGCAACAAAAAGCATGAGCTTCAAAAAATACTCTTAAAGACAATGAAACATAAATGTTCTTTACTAAAACACAAGCTGAATCTAACCCTAGGTAATTTTTTATTGGGTATTTACTAGTAATCAAAATGTTTAGTGGTATAAAGGAGGTATAGAACATAGTAATGATGTATAGCTAGAGTACTGTTGAGTATGACAGAGGACTACCATTGTTCAGAACCAATATCTTTCACTTGTTCTCCTTTCCCTCTTTAACAGAAGTGTTAAAAGCAGAAGGATCCCAGTGCCTTTCACATCACTTTGCTTTCTCTCCCTGCAGGAGATGGAGCAGTCAATGAATATGCTGAATTCTAACCACGAATTGCCTGATGTTTCTGAGTTCATGACAAGACTCTTCTCTTCAAAATCATCTGGTAAATCCAGCAGCGGCAGCAGCAAAACAGGCAAAAGTGGGGCTGGCAAAAGGAGGTAGTCAGGCCGTCCAGAGCTGGCGTTTGCACGAACTCGGCAACACTGGGTGGCATCCAAGTCTTGAGGGAAAACCGTGTGAAGCAACTACTGTAAACTTGAGTCATCCTGAAAGTTGATCTCTTACAACTGTTGAATATGTTAACTTTTTAGCACATGTTTTGTACTTGGTACACAAGAAAACCCAGCTTTCATCGTTTGTCTGTATGAGGTCAATATCGATGTCACTGAATTAATTACAGTGTCCTATAGAAAATGACATTAATAAATTATATGAAGTACTATACATTATGTATATTAAAATAAGTCTTAATCCAGAGATAAAATTTTCTGTCCTTTTTTTTTTTTTTTTTTTGGCTTAATGTTCCTTTTTTTTCCCTGACAGATTTCTTCTGTTTTCCATTATCTGAGGCTTGATATTGACCTTTCCTGTTTAAAAAGAAGTGGTTGTTATTTTTAGACTGCATGCATTATGGGTTTTGTGTGTGTGTATGGCCATACCTTTCAAAATTCTCAGCTCTGTCCAGCCATTTAATATTCCCTGATATTTGAGATGGGACCATACATTCCTGATGTGATTTTATTATTACAGTTACTTTCAGACTTTGGATATGTGAATTAGAATAGATCCTATCAACTTTCATATTCTGGTTACCATCTATAGTATTCATTTTACAATTATTGAGTACCAGCTATGTGCTGTGCTGCAAAGCAGAATACAGAGATGGATAACATCCAAGTGCTTGTCCTCAACAGAGCTTATTAAGTAGGGAAGAAGAACAAATAGTTACAGGAAATGAATGGTCAGAGGAAAGAAATGCAGCAGTAGGGTTGAAGGATGCAAAAGCCACGCTGGCACTTGGTTTGTAATATTAGAGGTCTAGCACAGACAGTTTTTTAGATCCTCTCATCTTTCTCATCATAGAATCTCAGAGTTGTTGGAAGATAAATTACTGATTTCCAGTCGAGAGTATCTCAACATTTTTTTTATTTTGATAAGTTGCAAAAATGTTACATCTTTTTGTTTTGGGTTGTTTTAATTAAAGAGGAATTCTCAGGCCACAGTTCTACTTCTACTAGAGGGCTCCTAATCTTGCCAATGTAAAAGAACTCTCTGATTGCTTTCTTAAGGTTATTTAATCAGCAAAAAAAAAAAAAAAAATTAGTTGGCTCCAAACTCAATCTCTTTTGTATTAAGTGTCATTGTTCATTTTGAGAGGAATGTACTTTTTTTTCTTTTTAAGGAAATAATTTTGGACTGAGCATGGTGGCACATGCCTGTAATCCCAGCACTTTGGGAGGTCAAGATGGGATGATTGCTTAAGGCCAGGAGTTCAAGACCAACCTGGGCAACATAGCAAGGCCTATAAAAAAATTTTTTTTTAATTAGCCAGGTGTGGTGGCATGTGCGTGTAGTCCCAGCTACTTGGGAGGCTGAGGCTGTGGTGAGCTATGATTGTGCCACTGCACTCCAGCTTGGGTGACAGAGTGAGACCTTGTTTAAAAAAAAAAAAAGTTCTGATGCAAAACATTTTATTAACTGTGTCTCTGTTTGTATTATATACACTAATGTTACCAAACTAGTTAAGCTATAAATGATTAGGTGGATAAACTGGTTAATGATAGAACTAGCTTTCTTAAAATTGAGTAATTTATTAAAAATAAAATGTTGGAACACTAGCTGAATGCCTTTCCTTCAGCTAGTATTCAATTTTCACTTAAACATTAAGTGAAAAGATATGACATTCTCCTTTGTGATTCAAAGGAGATACAATATAGTAAGAGTCATAGTTACATGACGAAAAATCACATTTTAAAATTTCATAATTTAGAATGTCAGTATTTGCACATGGAATACCTAATGACCAGGAAATAAAAAACACTTCCAAGGAAATTACCATTTCACATGCAAATTAAGAAACTATGTGATTATTTTACATAGATTCTAGTAGCGTCTGAATATAAAATATATTCCTTACACATTATATATACTCCTTCTCATGTTACCTCTTAATATAATATATACACCTGATGAAATGTTATTACATCAATTGCATACGAGAATCTTATCTTTTCCTAGAACTTTCATCAGATGCTTAGAGTGTTTACAGGTGCAGAAATGACTGTTATGAAACATGGTGGGCTCCAGTACAAAGAGCCCCTGTGCAGCTGCTAACTTGCTTTGTGATTGTGAGCAAATCACTTTCCTTGGACTGTGTCTTGTCTTGTTCTTTGTTGTATATCCAGCATCGAGCATGTGGACACAACAATAAAAGTTTGTTGGATGAATAAATAAATGAACCTTAAGTTTTCTCATCTATAACTGGAAGGATTTGGATTAGACATGTAAAATTATTTTAGAGATCTCAAATTTAATGCACTTCTGTTATTTTCTACCCTTTTTAAAGACCATATGTCAGTCCAACTTTCTTGTTTTCTTACTTGGGTTCTTTCCAAGGAGCAGTGTTAATCTATTCTTCTTTTGGGCCTTTCTTAATTTAGCTTACATGTGTCTTCTGAGTCGGGGTCTCATTCTTTCACCCAGACTGGAATGCAGTAGCATGACCACAGCTCACAGCACCTTGTGCCTCAGCCTCCTGAGTAGCTAGGACTACAGGCACGTGCCACTACACCCGACTAATTTTTTTATTTTTTGGTAGAGATGGGATCTCACTATGTTGCTTAGGCTGGGCTCAGACTCCTGGGTTCAAGCAATCCCCCCACCTCAGCTTCCTAAAGTTCTGGGATTACAGGCGTGAGCCACTGCCCCTGGACATTTCACACGCATCTTCTTTTAAATGCAAGTTTTGTGTTTTATAATTTTCCACATCTACTAAATTAAATCTGAATAGTGACTGTGCAAAACAAATTTTTGCTGCCCATCCTTGCCAGGAAGTCCTGAGTGCCCCAGATAATTTCTCCAGGGCAGAGCTATTACTCCCAAGTTTCAAACTGCTTTTTAGGAGTTAAAGCCTCAAGATTTATCCCAGATCTGTTTAACATTTTGCAAAGATTCAGGACTTCACCTGACCTGTCCAGAGTTGAAAAGCGTCTTACTTCTCCTTTACGTTTCCTCTGACAGGAGGGAGGAAACAACCACACGGTATACTTGTCAGTAGGCAGAGGGTTAACGCCCAATGAGGAATGGCAATAACAACAAAGGGGAGCTGTTCATTTACGTAGTCCTGCACACTTTCAGGAGGGTTTTTGCTTTTTAGTTTTTTGGTGCTCAACTTAGGTTCTTTTGGTTTTAAAAAAATATGTTATATGAGATAAGTCGTAACAAGGTAAGCATACTGGAAAACCTTTTCTTAAATACTACAAAGAAAAGTTTTAAACAGTTATTTTTGGTTTTTGCCTTTCAAGCCACACATAGACATACTTTTGCATGGTTGCCATTTTGTACATACCATTTTGTATTTAAACTCAACAAAAATTCTGCTAAGCCCTAATTTCGGGGAACACAATGAAAGCTAACGACTGAGTCCTTTAATTCAGTTCAAGGAGTATGTTGAGACAAGACCTAGTCTTACTGAGCAATTCTGCATTCTGTTTTTTAATTTGTAAGGTATGTGGAAATATCCATTTGGTAAAAATGTTTATCTTATTCAGGAGAACTTGAAAGTACCTTTTGTAAAACTCAGGTGTTGCCTGTAAAATGTTGATATTGTTTTTTAGTCTCGAAAAAAAGATGACAAAGTATTAAGAGCTCTTTTTAGAAAGAAAAAAAATGTCCTTCCCAGATAGCACCAAATATTAGCTTATCTCTTTTATCCACAGTAACACAGCTTTATTATGGGAGCATGGCGACCTGAAGCTTTCCACAGTGATTTCTGCCTGGTAGGACTGAGCCAGCCAAGCAAGCACTCCTGAGAAGGAGGAGGAGTGAATTAAGGCTAAGCAGTGAACTGGAGGAATGGGTAGAGCCACAAAAACTAGCTGTGCACAGCATTAGAAAACTGTTGAAAGGCATGCCAATAGAAAACTGTTGAAAGGCATGTCAATCCACTGAAGTTTAATAAACTAGTAATTAATTCATATCTGTACTTCTTAGATAATTTTGAAATCAAATTTTCCACATAAATACAAGTAATTGATTTCATTTCCTTTTTAAAAAATTCAAAAATATTTAATTGACAAAGGTTGAATATATTCAAGGTAAAGAATGTGAAGATTTGATATACATATATACTGTGTAAATGATTACCACAATCAAATTAATTAACCCATTCATCACTCATATATACTCTCATGTTGTATACATCAGATCCCCAGAACTTGTTTATTGTCTTAGAGTTTGTGCCCTTTGAGCAATATCTTTCCATTTCTCTCACACTTCTCCTCTGGTGACCACCATTTGATTCTCTGCTTCTATGTGTTGGATTTTTTTAGATTCCACATATAAGTGAGACCATGCATATAAGTCCTCAATGAAAGTTTGTAATTAGTTATCTTTTCAGATGAGGAAACAGGTTAAAAAATGTCCCAAAGCCTGGGCAACATAACGAGACCTCGTCTCTACAAATATGCCAAAAATTAACTGGGTGTGGTAGCACGAGCCTGTAATTCTAGCTACTCAAGAGGCGGAGGCAGAAGAATTGTCCAAGCCCAGGAGACCAAAGCTGTGGTGAATCGTAATTGTGCCATTGCACTTCAGACTAGACAACAGAGTGAGACCCTGTCTGAAAAAAAGAAAAGAAGGCCAGGCGTGGTGGCTTACACCTGTAATCCCAGCACTTTGGGAGGCCAAAGGGATAGGATTGCCTGAGCCCAGGAGTTCAAGACCAGCCTGGGCAACTTGGCGAGACTTCGTCTCTATAATAAATAAAAAAATCAGCCAGGCATGGTGATAAGCGTTTGTAGTTCCTGCTACTTGGAAGGTTGAGGTGGAAGGATCGCCTGAGCCTACCAAGTCGAGGCTGCGGTGGTCATGAGTGTGCCACTGCCCTCCAACCTGGGCGACGGAGTTAGACTCCAACTCAAAAAAAAAAAAAAAAAGGAAAAGAAATTTTCCAAGCTTATCGGTGGCTAAGTCATCTTTATTAAGAGCAAACTTTGTTAACTACTTTCTCTCACAAGCTAAACAAATAAAACTAAACATTAATATACCCATAATCAACACATAGTTATATATCTCTTCCAACCTGCTCACCCCCCCACACCTCTATTGATATGATCTAGGTACTTACCTCTCTCCTTCCAAACACTCCTCAAAGGGGTGGTGTAGTCAAAGGAAACTGATTTTCAAGAGAAAGTAGTTCTAGTCCTAATTTCTGGTACCTGAAGACTCAGACATTAATCTTAAAGATGTTTCTAAAAGGC